ATTCCTAGGATGCTAAAGATTCAAGCTGAATATAGATATCTGTTTCTATATCAACGTTCAGAAAGTTAGGAAGGTTCATAAATTATTATCAATGACAGCTGTGATTGATTTCTTACGAGGTGCTGATTTGACTTGCATAAAGCAATCTCAGTGTTAAGATAATTCAAAGTTTACATGATATATCTGTATCTATCTATACATATATATATATTAAAGAACTTTTGAGTTTTCTGGCAACTAGATGGCTGATTAAAATTTCATGATTCATAATCAGCAAGTCTCAGATTTTGGATAAAAGTCAAACAGTGTGAATTATAATAAAAACGTGATTCCCAAGGCATATCACTTCATTGTATAAGAGTATGGAATCAGACCACAGATTTTACTGCAGAAATGAAGTAGGTATTCTAGAAATGAAGAACCAATGCAATGTAACCACAGAAAGACAAAGGCAAATAATGTAAAGTGATGATCAGACAAAGAAGGAGAAGATAAAGAAGTAGCAGCTAAGTAGTGCTGACTGGTTAGCCAACAATTCAGCATGAATGGCATGTTTGGCATCCCAACCCCAGCTACTCCATCTCCACACTTGCAGAGGGCTACATGAGCTTCACTTAGCAGCCAGAGTCAGCGATACAGCAGCTACATGGATGCCTATTTTTTCTTAACGAAACATTTGTGCAGCACATAAACATCAAAATTTATATTTAGTGAAAGAGAATGACTCAAAAGCTACTTTAATGCTGTTTTTATGTATTTATATAAAATGCCTTTTAAGTATCTGTTCTTTAAAGTGATGTATATTTTTCATGGATACAAAAAATTATTTCATGGATGATTGTCATTTTTTAAAAGCCAACTAACTTCCAAAAAACTGAAGACTCTTGAGTATGACATATCATCAAGATATCAGAAAACCAAACATTTTCTTTAATTTATTGCACTTCTGTCACCAGCAGACTGCAGATTATACATGAACAAAATAAACAGGCAGTTGCTTTGTACCCCCTGAATGTATGCCTTCAATGCAACAACTACCAAAGGCCTGCCCTCCGGTTGTAATCAGTTTCAAAGTTATTTTGATCAAAATTACCAAAGAAATATCAAAAAGAGCCTGGTATCCCACAAAGTAGCTAATTTACTATGTTGATTTGAGTATGAATTTCAATCACCTGTGCAACAGAAAAGAGCTGAAAGAGCACAGTGGGACACTGCTGTCTGAAGGGCCACAGACTCAGCCTCAAGTCCAGTCAATGGCAGTTTAGTCATTGCTGACAATTTTGGTAACTCATCCTTGAATGACCCACAGGTGCTGAGAGGCACAGAGAATTGCTCTTTCCAAGTCAGGTCAAATGGGATCACCATGCAATAAAACCCTGTGAAAGCAGCCTAAAACTGTGAGGGCCTTGCAGTCCCATCAGTAGAACTGATTTAATTCGTCTTTTTTGAAAATACTTACATATTTCAAAAGAGAAATCTTCCACCTGCTGGTTCATTCCCTAAATGCCCACAACAGTGAGGGCTGGCTAAGCTGAAGCCAGGAATTCCATCTGGGTCTCCCACATGAGTAGCAGGGACCCAGGTATTGGAATCATCTCTGCTGCCTTCTCACAAATATTAACAGGGAGCTAGGAAGTATATAGCAGCTGGGAACTGAATCAGTGGCCTGATAACGAGATACAGGTGTCACAAGTGACAGCTTAACTTGTTGTGCCACAATGCCAGCCACCTGAAGCTGTTTGTTTTAAAGGATAGTTTGTCTCTGTCTTTACCTTTGATTTTTAAATTAGTAATGCTACACTATTAAGTATGAATTGCAAATTTAAACCCAGGAACACACTGCTTTAACAAAAATCTTACATAATTTTCTGTGTGCCAGCCAGAATCCAAGATCATTTTAGCCTCGAAACAACCCTTAGAGGTGAGTGTTTTCTTGCTTTTCCTTTTGTACAGATGGAGCACCTGACTCACTGTGAGTTGAAGTAAACTTGCCCACGGTCAACAGCAAGTTCAGAGGTGGTGCTGAGATCAGAACCCAGGCAGAAAGCCTCCAGCAGCCACATAGCTTAACCACTGTGCACCATATGTCCCATTAGTAATCAAACAGTCTTTTTAAAAGCTCATTTATTCTTATAGTAACCTGGGGGAGATCTCTAAGGCAACATTAGCCTGAAAAACACGTAGCAGAGAATTGAACTCTTCACGTGACACTATCACTAGCGGACTAGAATGGGAAAATCTGTCACGAAGCTGTCTAGATTGGGGTTCTGGGAAGCCGCAGTCCAAGCTCTGCTCTGAGGCTGGCTTGCTCAGGGGCTGCAGCACAGGGGTCAAAAACCTGGGCTCTGGCAACAGACAGCTCTGTAATCTCAGACTTGAAACACCGTATACTTGCTATGTGACCTTGGGTCACACTGCATAGCCTTTCAGAGCCTCAGTGCCTCTAAAAACAGGAGACAATAAAAATAATTTCACTAGAGTAGCTCTCATGATGGGATTTGAAGTTGCTTCCCTGCTGCAGATTCTTTACTTAGAAAAGTGCAATCTCGTGTCAAACATCACAATACCCCATTACCAGCAGATTCCATGATGCCATGATGCTGATTATACTAATTATGGTGATTACAATAATCCTATATTACATTTATTTACTCTCATGTTTTTTTCTAAAAACTTTCATGCACTTGATCTGATTTGATGCTCATAATGTTTCTACCTGACATCTCATTCCAATTTCATGGACAAGGAAGTGCAGGATGAAAGAATTAATTTGACCTGTGGAAGATCAAATGCTTATTGGCTGACACAATTGGTTCATAAAACTTGTTACACTCCACTAACAACATGATACCTCCCTGTGATAAGTGTATAATACTATTGATGAAGTAAAATAACATGAAAAAATGCAAATAAATACTTGTTGTTCCAAGAATTTGGAGAGAACAGAAATGCTTTCTCGTGGTTTAGGTTTTCAGGAGGCTTGTACCAAGAGGGCAACTCCACCCTTACATGTGGCGTGAGAGTAAGTTAAAGAGAAGAACAAAAGAAGGACGGACATCTACAAAGACACAGTAGCAGGAATGCTCACAACCAACGACAGACAATCCATGGCTGTGGAAGAGAAGAGAAGCAATGCAGCAGGAAGGAGGGAGCACACACGTGACATATGTCATTGGGCTGGCACGAAGGCTGGCATCATTTAACATTAGTATGTGTGCCGGTTTTATCAGGGTTATTCAGGGCCGTCTTCTCCTGGACTCTCAATTTCATGCTGTTGTCTGCTGCTGCCTCAGTGACTCCATGGCGGCCTTCTTGGGTTCTGCCACTTGTAGCTCACAGCACATGCTTTAAGTCTTGGGCAGCTTCTCCCAAATGGAGTCTAGTGATGCATCAAATCCTAAGATTTAGGATTTGCCATCTGAAGCAGCTGCTAAAAGTGCTGGGCTAACGGGATCTTAAGTGGAGGAGAAATAATTTCCTGTGGGGAAAGGGACCCATGTAATGGAGGAAACTGAAAGGATAGAATCTCTCTTACTCTCCCTTAGTGAACCACTTAGAGGCACAGTTTCTGCTATAGTCTATCCAGAAACACCTACCTGATGGTAACTCTGTGGTTTATCTGAAGCTGTTAATAGTACTGTGCTTTACTGGACCTCCCTTTTCTATGCTACTCTGTAGTAGCTGGAGTCTTGAAACCAGGAACTCAATCTGAGTCTCCCAGGTAGGTATCAGGACCCAGGTATCTGAGCCATCATCTTTTGCCTTCCAAGTAAACAGCAGGAAGATGGATTGGAAGTAGAGCAACTAGGACTCAAACCAACACTTGAATATAAGATGCCAGTCTTTTACATAGAAGTTAGAAATAATACATTCATAAAAGATAAAAAGGGCCTTATTCATTACCAACAACCAAAGAGAAAATAAATGGCAATGCCATACAAAAAAGAAAAGGGATTTGGAGTAAAAATCAAGCCAAGTTTGAACTCTACCACATATATGATTGTCACTTTGAGTAAATTCATTACTTCCTCTGAGTGGAGTTTCTTTCTCTGGTAAAAAAAAAAGGGATAGTACTTGACACTTAGTATGTGGTTGTGATAAGCCAGGTGCTTCAGCTGATATTTATATCAAAGTGGATATTATCAATGCCAAGGTTTCGGTGAAGAGACATACCCAGAGAGGCTGAACGACTTACTCAAAGTAACTGCTGGAAACAACTATCGTTTGTGGTCAAATCCTGATGCTGACAATACTACTAGCAGTACAATCTCTGCTAAGACACTTAACCTCATTAAGCCTTCTACATGCTTTATCTTACGTGCAGCATATAAAACACAAATTCTAGAATGGAAGCTGTGAAAGTCCTCCCTATTTTATTTTCGACATGCACCATAAAGACGGATGGTTTTCCTCAACTGCTTTAATTGTTGTTAGAGAATAGTAAGAAGGGGATATGTTCCAATCTCTGCATATAATAAGAACAATCTAAATGAAAGAAGCTGAGATATATAAAAAAAGTATCAGATGGAGAAGATACTGTGGCAGAGCACGCTATGCTGCCTCTTAGAACACCTGCACTGCATACTGAAGTGTCTGGGATTCCAAGTTGAACCTCTGCTTCCGATGCAACTTCCCGCTAATTCAACTGGGAGAATGTTGGAATAAAGTCCACATATTTGGGACCCTACTGCTCCTGTGGGAGACCCAGGTGGAATTTCTGGCTCCTGCCTCAGCCTGAGCAAGGCCTGTTGTGGGCATTTGCAAAGTCAATCAGCAGGACAATCTGTCCTTCATTCTCTCATATTCTCTCTCTTTCTCATTGTTTTTTTCTTAAACAAATGAATAAAGTCTTCAAAAATAATAATGGTGTAAGATATGAGGTATCTATTTGAGTTTCAGAATCATTATAAATTCCACTATTCCACAACAATCACCCTTCTGCTTATGAGTCAAACACATTCAACGCATGGAGCATCAGTTGCTTATCAAATGTTCGTTACCTTTGCTTCATTCTTTCATGTAGCCTCCCGTGCTCGACACACTGCTCCTCCAACGCACTGTTCCTTCTCTGCAGTTTTTCTAGTTTGTCATATGTGTGTCTTTTTTCTTGACTGAGCTGAGCTATCGTTGACCTAGAGGTGAAAATACAGAAGTAACAGATGTTAAAAGCTCTTCCTAGAAGAGCATATTTTATACATACCCTTAACAATATTTTTTAAATGTATGCTTTATTTTCTGTGTATTATTTTCTTTTATTATATATTTTATTTATTTTAAAAATGATAATGTAATAAAACTGTATAAACTTGTGTGTGGAAATTGCAAAATGTCTAGTAGCAGGATATATGACTTCTAAAATGACTTCTCTGGAGAACAAGATCACTAGTGATAAAATCTCTTTACAGAGACCATCATTCACTGCACAAATATTTGCTGAGTCTTTACCATAGTCCAGTCACCAGGCAGTTAACAAGCAATATAAGGCCTTATTTTAATAGGAAAGATTTTTTTTTAGTTAATATAGCTAATGTAATTATTAAAATCAAATAGTCCTGGGCCCGACACTGGCCTAGTGGTTAAAGTCCTCGCCTTGAATGCACCAGGATCCCATATGGGTGCCGGTTCTAATCCTGGCAGCTCCACTTCCCATCCAGCTCCCTGCTTGTGGCCTGGGAAAGCAGTTGAGGACAGCCCATAGCCTTGGGACCCTGCACCCGTGTGGGAGACATGGAACAATTTCCTGGCTCCTGGCTTCAGATTGGCACAGCACCAGCCATTGTAGTCACTTGGGGAGTGAATCATCCGATGGAAGATCTTCCTCTCTGTCTCTCCTCCTCTATGTATATGACTTTGTAATAAAAATAAATAAATCTTTTAAAAAAATCAAATAGTTCTGTGATGGCTAATTTTATGTATCAACTTATCTTGGACCAAGAAGGTTGAACAAGACTCCAGCTACCACAGACAGAGTAGCACAGAAAATGGAGGTTCAAAAGTTGCCTTGGAGCACAGTGCTGGGCCATGGCCACTGTGGAGCCCAGTACTTGGGAAGACTCAAAGGCCTCACCCCCTAAGCCTCTGACACAGAGGCTCCAGCTGCCCATGTCAGACAGGCATCTGTGATCTTACTTCACTGTGTTGCTGCAACACTTGACTAGACCTTGTATCCATCTGTGAGACACTGTAGGGCCTGTGACTACCAGATCCAGATGATTCAGGATACATGCCAGTCTGGGTGACCAAGGGACTACCTTTGTGGCTTCCTCCAACCTTGGGCAGACAGCAATGGACTACAGGATTGTGTTGTGGGACTCAGAGCCAAGCTGTTACAAAAAGGCTGTTACTGGGTAGATCTTCACAGTCCCTCTCCTTAGGCAAGTGCCTGCTCCAGGATCAATGGGGACCTATGTCCTGGGAAGTGGACATGTTGCTATGTATGCTACTTTTAGTCATGTGTGGGTCTAGGAGCACTCCAAAATTGTACAGAGCCTATTACTAACTCTAAGACCTAAGTGTTACCCACCATGTTCCTGTGTCTGCAGCTGAGAAGCTGCCTCTATCATCCCTACTGTAAAACTGGACAGACAACAAGGAAGCACAGGAATGCCTTGGGGCTCAACATCAGGCTGGCAAAAGCCAACATTGAATGGATCCCAACTATCCCTGTTTCCAAGCCAGTGCCTACAGCCAAAGCTGCTGGCTGCAATGCAGGCCAGATTGGATTCCATAACCCTAGGAGATCAGTCTCATATCTTAGCCAGCATGACCCATTACTTGGAGCAGCAGCATCAAGCAGTGAGTTCATCTTGGCAGCAGAGAGCTGTCAACCAATCGCTGGGCTGCATTGTCCTCTGTGGGCTCCAGGAAGGGTATAGCATCATAGCATTTGCAATCACCCAACTAGGAATGTGAGGCCATCCTAGCCCAAGGAAGAGGCTTATAGGTACGTACTATGCATTTTTAGGCATTTCCACAGTTCATTCTAAACAATATACCAACTGTAGATTTGGCACAAATTCAATCTTGAATAGTAGTGCAGCTCTGAACCAGAAAATAAACAATAGACCTAAAATAAGTCTCAACTTTGAGAGTTATCTAGTACTGAAATGGTAGCAGTGTCCACAAACTCACAGAAAGTAAGTAGAAGGCTTAGAATTTCTAGGAGAAGGACAGAGCTGTGGCATAGGAGGCTAAGCCTCCATCTGCGGCGCTGGTATCCCATATGGGCACTGGTTTTAGTCCTCATTGCTCTTTTGATTTAGCTCCCTGTTTATTACCTGAGAGAGCAGCAGAGGATGGCCTAAGTTCTTGGGACCCTGCACCCATTCAGGAGACCCTAGGAAGTTCCTGGCTGCTGGCATTGGATCAGCTCAGTTCTGGCTGATGTGACCATCTGGGGAGAAAACCAGTAGATGGAAAATCTTTCTCTCTCTCATTCTCTCTGTAAATCTGCCTTTCAAATATAAATAAATGCTAACAAAAACAATTTCTAGAAGCAAAGTCACAAATTAAGCGAGATTACTGTAACTAATCCTTCATTGTGCAGATGATGTCTTACACCAATGGTATTAAATCTACTGGAGGACCATGACTTCACCCAGTCAATAAGTACCAGAGACCAACCTTGAAAGAGTTGAATTGAAAGTTTCAACTGCTTTGTGAAAATTTCAAAATAATTATTTCGAGGAAACTCAATGAATTTCAAGGGAATATAGAGAAGTGAAATCCTTCAACTGTAAGCATCAAACAGAATAAACAATATGTTGATGAGTCTTTGGTTATACTGATACTGGGATGGATATCACCTATCAGAATGCCTGGGTGCAAGTACCAGCTCCACTCCTGATTCTATATTCCTGTTAATCTGGATCCTGAGGGGCAGCAGGAGATGTCAAGGAACTAGATCCCTGCTATCCAGGTAGGAGGACTGAGTTCCAGACTCCCACTTTCACCCTCGGCCCAACCCCAAGAGTGCAGGCATTTGGTGAGTGAACCATGGTATACAACTCTCTCTTTTACCTTTTCTCAAATAAATGACATTCACAAAATGTGACAGACAGCATCAATAGCAGAACAGCTGAAACAGAAGAATCAACGAACTTGAAGATGGACTATCTGAAAACACAATTGAAAAAGTAATTAAGGGGATTAAATAGAGCATATGAGAACATTGGAACAGCAGAGAAAGAGTAAGTTAAATTATCTAGATTCAAAAAGGGCTTGCAAAAGAGACAGAAAGCTGCCTCCCAAGGTGTATGTAAAAAGGAGGCTGGAATTGGAAGGAAAGCTGAGACATGAGCACAGTACTCTGACATGCAATGTTGGCATCCCAAGTGGCATTGTATCTGCTGTGCCAAAACCTAACCTTCACCCTTTGGTTCAGCATGGTATTGGAAGTCCAAACCAAAGCAAGCAGGCAAGATAAATCAAGGACTCTAAATCAGAAAGGAGGAAGTCAAACTGTTACTGTTTGCAGATGATATGATTTCATACAGAGGAAAGCCTAAACTCCAAAAAGTTAGTAGAATAAATTCAGCAGTGTTGCTAAACATAATGTTAACATACAAAAATCTGTATCACTGTTATAAAGTGATAGTGAATTACCTGAAGAAGAAATCAAGAAAGAATCTCATATTCAGAAACTCAACAATAGCAAAATAAACAACCCTGTTAAGAAACAGGCAAAATAAATGAGCAGGCATTTTTCAAAAGAACAAATTCAAATGGTCAATATGTGTGAAAAACTGCTCAGCCTCCCTAGCTATTAGGGACATGCAAATAAAAACCACACTGAAATTCCACCTAATTCCAATGAAAATGACCCACATTCAGAAATATACTAACAGTACCTCTGGTGAGGATGTGGGGAAAAAGTGACATACTCTTTCACTGTTGGTGGGAGTGTAGGCAAGTACTGATACTATGGAAGTCAGAATAGAGTGCTAAGAAAACTGAAAGCTGATCTAACATAGGACCTAGCCATCCAATTCCTGGGAATATGTCCAAATGAAGTGAAATCTGCATGAGAAAGTGACATGCATGCCTATATTTATAGCAGCACAACCACAACAGTGAAGACATAGAAACAGCCCACATGCCCTTCATAAGAGAAATAAATAATACAATTGTGGTACACCTGCTCCATGGAATACCACACAGCCATTAAAAAGAATGAAACTCTGCCATTTGCAACAAAATGGTGCCAAATAGAGACCATTATGCTCAGTGAAATAAGTCAGTTCCAAAAAGACAAATTCCATATGTTCTGCCTAAGGAAACCTTAATGAGAAATACAAAAAGTTTGATATATAGGTAAGAATTTACATACATATACTTTCACGATTAACTATGTAATGGAGAACAGCGTATCAGGAAATGAAGGAACTTTGCAGTAGGCATCTTGACTCACAAATGAAAGGATGACTCCTGATGAAACAGTTAAGTATACCTTGACAATAAGATACTAGATTTTCCAGCTTTGTCTATACCTACAATGCCACGATGCACTTAAATAGTAGAATGTTACACTAGTAACTGTTACTAAAGTACTATATAAGTGTAATGATATGGGGGAAACAATAGGAGGGGGAAGCGAAATGGGAGAATGGCAAGGGAAAGAGGGCTATGCCTAAACTTACAAAACTGCAACATGGAGAATAATAACACGATTTTAAGAAATTAAAAAGGAAATCAAAAAAAGAATCCTACGTCTAGTGATTGCAATGAAATAAATAAATAAATAATCAATTAACCAATCCTAGGAGTAAACTTAGCCAAGATGTGAAAGAGTCCTACAATCAATAAAGTTCTTGATGAAAGAAGTCTAAAGGGAACACACATAAAAAATGAAAAGATAGTCCATATTCTTAGACTAGAAGTTAAATATTATTAAATTAATCATACTTTCCAAAGTAATTTTAAAATTTACTGAAATTCCTACCAAAATGTCAATGGCATTTTTTACAGAGGTAGAAATACAACTGAAATTCTCATGAAACCACAGAAGATCCAAGCAACTAAAGAAATTTGAGCAAAATGTTCAAGGAAGGGGATATTATACTACCTGAATTAATATTACAAAGCTATACTTACTAAAACAGCATAGAATTAGCATTAAAAACAGATACACAGA